ACCCTTAACAATAATAACGGATACAATTACACTAGATACCCTCAACAATAATAACGGATACAATTACACTAGATACTCTAGATACTAGATACTCGGTACTCTAGATACTAGATACTCTAACAATTTTATCAAACATTATGATAATTACCACATCAAATGCTGCGGAGACCTATCCAGAATCGGCAATATGCTGGCCCTGGCCTGGAGATCTGCAACTATAATCAGCTTCTACTTTGCAACACTAACGGATTAGTCCCCTTTGTCGATTGATGGATCAATCGGTGGATTCGGCTCTGTTTTTCTTTCCTTTCTTTCTTGTTTTGAATTGTACGTTGAACTCATTGGTTTTCTTTGTATTCTGTATCTCGTTATCGTTATATTTCCCTCTAGCCCTCTCGCTTAGGATGAGCTTTCTTTTTTATGGCAGCTTAAGCGAAGGCTATATACCTGCTTTATGCAGGTTGATGCCAACGCGAACAAGCAAAATAATAATAATAATAATACACAACAGAACAACAAGGACAATCAAGGCTTGTTTGCTGCTACTTCAAGTTTCATGCTCTCGCAATCATCAGGCAACATGAAGATCGGGTGCCGACCATGCCGAATAATAGAATGACTGCGCATGTATTTTATAGATTGCGATTATTATCACTGTCGGGAAGGAAAACACCAATTTTACAGGGCCCTAAAAGTCTGAACGAAACCTATGAAATGCACTGTCAAAGCAAACAAAAATATGAATATGCAAGCTCATGCCTGAGGGGAAGATGAGAAGTTGAAACGTGGAGATTTTTCGGACAGGACGAGAATCCGAAGAACCTGGGTGATTTCCCTTACTTCCACAATGGGCTAGTGGCTGCATCACAAAAATTATACCTTGCAGTGGGTGCAGAGACAGATCAATAAACACTAACCTGAGCATGAGAGCTGCTCGTATTCATTGCGATCGTCAGGAAAATGGCAGGACGAACGGACCAGAAGAATGTTGGCTATGACAAACAACTGCATATCCAGACGACACACGGCTTGACTATTTGCTTATGACGTTCAGCTTCGAGGTCCAGCACGATGGAATTTTCGGAAGGAACTGATTTTTGAATTATTTGGGGAAGAAGATTGCACTCAGAAAAGGTACCGTAACTGGTTTCTTTCATTTGAAAAGCTGTTCACCAAAGTCCTAAACATACACTGACTGTACGACGTTTCGGAGCTGCTCCAAATCGATCGATTTGTTTTGAATGGTTTCGCCACCGCTTTCCGATCGATCGATCCTTGCGCGATCTGTCGATCGACAGATCGCGCAAGAAAATCGATCGATTTTCCAAATCGACAGAACGCGCACAACATTATACAGTCAGAAAGTGCAACAACTAGGCACAAAACTGACAGAGTACTGAGACATTCGACGTCCTGACACCAAGCTTCAACACATCTCCGTAGCGCTAACCGACAGCCTTCCAACTTGGAACCGAAGGTTCAAGGTTATGGAAAGACCAAAGAGGGGAAGGCAAGCGCAACGAAAACGAGCACAAGCTACAGTCCCAACGGAACAAAGAATGTCGATTGTCACTGGACGATGTCGGTTAGCGCTACGGAGATGTGTTGAAGCTAGGTGTCAGGACGTCGAATGTCTCAGTACTCTGTCAGTTTTGTGCCTAGTTGTTGCACTTTCTGACTGTATTTAGTATCTAGTTACAGTGGTGGAGAGTTACTCTTAAAGGGAAAGTTAAGGCAAAAATTAAAATTTCACCAGTTGTAGTCTTCGGGGTGCTGAGTCGAATGGTCTTGGTCCGAGAAAGCTGAGACGCTCCCTTCCTACTTGCGCAGGCATGCTTCCCTGTTCAGCGTGTTAAACGCATTCGTGGCATCTGGTACTAGTACTCCTTTGTAGGGTCAAAAATCGAAGTTTAGAAATCGGCTTTTTTGACTCTTTCAGTGGACGCACAAGGCCCTGAACCTGTGGAATCCAAAATTTGAGGCGAATCGGCACAGTCTTTGCAGAGTTACAGGCCAGTGAAGTGCGTGGGTATGTACGATGTACGCACTGCAGCGTGACCATGCTAGCTGTCAGAAGAGCAAAAATGAGTACTCATGCCACGTGGCAAAAATTCAAATATTCGTTACCATGACTGCACAAAATGGTGACCCAGCGTAAAAACTGGGTTCCCTTGCGCTTTTTGCATCACAAACAGCAACTATTCTGCACTCGCTGTGCTGAGCTTGAAGATGGGAAGCAAAAAAATGGAAAGGTAGATACTACGTTGCCAAAAAGAAGAAATATTATGGAAAGAAGCCTGAAACAGCTCCCGATCCTAACCCTGTTCCTGTGGAAGCGGAGCCAGAAGATATTGGACGTAGCTCTTCATTTGCAAAGCTCGTCGGCTGCAAACCCTGGTGGGAGCAGGAGACATCAGACAGCGATGGCGATGTTGGAACGGAGTCTGATACCTCACTGACCTCGAACCCAGACACGAGTGACAGCAGTGATGACAGTGATTGTTTCGAGGCTGATGAGCCCCATACTGGTGCGGGAAACGTATTTTCGACTTGGAGCAGCTGCAGGAGATTCTGCTGAAATGTGTGTGCAGTTTGTAAAGTTGGCGGTATCATTTTGGAAAAGGAGAGACAGCAAGGCTTAGGATCACACATGGTCATATCCTGTTCATCAGAATCATGTCCTGGTGCTAATGTCAAGTTTTCATCGTCCATAAGAACAAGATTTTTTGACGTCAACCGATGCTCCGTTTTAGCTGCCAGGCCCATTGGCCGAGGACACTCTGGTCTCCAGAAATTCTGTGCCATTATGGACCTCCCCAAGCCTGTCAACAAGACGAACTTCCAGAAACACCAACAAGCTGCAATTGAGGCTGCACACACGGTTGGCGAGAAAAGCCGCAACTACGCTGCCCAGCAGCTGTTAGCAGAAAATCCCGAAGCCAGAGGCCATCTACAAGTTGCTGGTGCCTGTTTACCAAAGACTGGCAGACCAGGCACTTCTGAAACGGTGCTTGCTTGGTGCCACACAAAATGCCAAAGAAGCATTCAATGGTGTCGTGTGGCGCATGTGCCCGAAGGAAGTCAATGCAGGTCGCTGTGTGGTGGAGCTCGCTGCAAATCTTGCTACATGCACTTTCAATGATGGTGCCATGAGCCTTTGTCAAGTTCTTGACAGAAATGTCGTGTTCTGTTGGCCATAACACCATCAAGGCACTGAAGAAGGAGGATACGGACCGCATTGCACATGCCGAAGTGGCCAGTTCAGCATTGCAAAAAAGCACAAGAAGAAGAGGAGAAGAAAGAAAAAGGGCTGGGAAGAGCAAAGAACAGAGCAAGAAGGTGTCACATATGAGGCTGGTGGATTTTAGCTTGGTTTGGTGAGGTTTTGTTGCTGACATTACAGCTTATGCCTGCATTTTTGTCTGTTTTGGACCCCTTTTTTCACTGTTTTTAGCCTACTGCGAGTGTGTTTTCTGAAGTTTTCTCTTGGATAAAGTGTCTGGACACCCCCCAAAGTATACATTTTTGGAAAGGTGATGCCCAGGCCTAGGGCACCTGGGTGTTTTCAAGAGCAACACTTTAACTGGAACAATCTTTGCCCTCTCTCAAATGTTGCAACACGGTCGCGTATTATATATGTTGTTTTATAAGGTGTATTGTGCGTCCTTTGTTCCTTTGGATGGACTTCTGCTGACCCAGGTGCCCTTCCCCAGACCTAGATGGTTTGGATCCAACAAATTTGGACCCATCAAATAGTCTTTTCCTGGACATTTTTTTAAGAAAATTTGTAGCCCGTCATATCGACAGAAAGTGTACATTCTGATTTACATTTTCCAAGGATCTCGCAAAGCATGACAATATAATTTTCTGCTGTTGCAATCACTACCCTTTCATCTGTGTGTGGAGAAAATTTGGAGTGATTTGCTTTGTCCTGGCCTGCACAGAGTTGAAGGGTGCCAGCTGCCTCTTGAATATCCTGACCAATTACGTACAGGATGGCCTTGCCCACCACTCTCCGCATCACCTCGCCAATCCCAATGGGTCTAACCCCCGGGTTCTTGTTGAGGGGGATGAGTCAGGATGCCAGGTACGCTTCCAGCGATCGGGGGTCGACAAATTCGGTCGCCACACGTCGAGCAGAGCTTGCCAGCGCATCGCATAGCGAGTCAGACGCATCGGAGAACATTGTGCACATCCACCTCCATGCCTCAGCGTCTACACCTGACGGGCCGGCTGCGCCATGAGTGTTGAGTACCGCCTTTCTCACCAAGTCACGATTGAGACCAGAGAACCTGACCGGATGAGGCTGAGGAGGGGGAACACCTTGTATCAGGGCCTCCGTGGCTAGGGGCGCAGGGTCAGGGTGTTTGTGTGGAATCTGGATTTGGACGTAGTCGCGGAGGTAAGTTCTCTCCGTTCACTTTTACTGTACCGACGGTGCACTGTGCATTGGCATGCTCCCACCCTCTCACGGTTCTGTGTAGTGCATTTTGTCGCTGGGTTCTGATCGAAAGGCTCCAGTGGCAAGATGCATTGCATCGAATCGAGAGGGGGTGGGGGCATGCCAATGCAGGGTGCACCGTAGTAGGTACGGTAAAAGTGAACCCAGTTAATAATGAATATCATCTCGCGCGGGATTGTATTGGCTATTATTTCCCGGTCAGCAAGGCTCCTGATTTGCTGAAACAGGCCTATAGTACCGTACCATGGGATAATGCTATAATACTCCCTGCATAGCACCACAACAGCACCACATCTGCACATCCCTGTAGGCATACCCATTCATGCACTCCCGGCTGACCTTTGCCCTGCTGACCCTTTTGCCTCCCTTGCATGCACTGCACTGCATGCACCCCTTTTCCCGCTCACCCTGTCTCACTAACTGCGGGCCGGCACCCCTTTTCCCGCTCACCCTATTTCCTACTGCATGCACCTCTTTCCCTCTTTAGTAGGCCATATATAGGGAGTCGTAAAATACTTTTTTTTTTACGACTCCCTGCTCTATACCCGGAAGGCTGCGCTTGCGCAGTGTTGTTCTCCCAGTGCTTCTCCTTGTGCCTTTATTGTGGTTCTCCTTGTTGTTCTCCGAGTCTTCTCCTTGTAATTATCCCAGTCCTCTTTGTGCTTCTCTGAGTCCGACAATATAACTATCATAACAACCCATAATTCCGTGCAGTCTGAGATAGAGTGTTATAAAGTACAGTAGTATAGTATAGTATTATAGTAGAGTAGTCTCCAGTCCAGCCAGATCCCATATGACTACACTTTGTGGTTTGATGCAAAATTTCAAACTCATCGGAGCCGTGAATTGGTGTGCACGTATATTTAAGCGATCTTCAATTCCTCAAATCATTTCGTAGTGACAGTGTTCCTTTCTTTCATGTAGTCCTGGAATTATTTTAGCCTAGTCGTTTAGTCGGACAAGAGATGGACATCCCTCTTCATCTCCTTGCGCCATTGCTTCGTACGAGGTATGTGATCGTCGGCCATTGCATGTCTACCCGGTAATCATGCAGTTTAGGGTCCCAAATTATTTCGCACTTTCCCAGTGTTCAGTGTGCTGTCACACGCGTTTTCAGTGTACTTTCACATCATGAACTTTATTTTCATGAAAACCGAGGACAGATCAGACTGGGTACTGCTGGTGAACACTGCGGAGCAGGGAGCCGAACGTGTTGTCTTCCGCGCGAACTCTCTGTCTCCACACGAACTCGCAGAGGTACGTCGGGAACAACTCTCGCGAGGTGCCGAAGTTGCGCTTCAGCTGGCGCTTGGCCCGCATCCAGATGTTTTCCACGTTGTTGGTGTGGATCGTTCGGTCGTCCGGATCAACAAAGTTGTCGTGGACGACGACATCGTGCTGGTATACGCCACCGTCGATGTTCCTGATCTGCGCGTATGCGGCCCAGGCGTCAGAGATGATGCGTGAGCCAGGCAGAATCCACAGGAAACAAAACTTTGACAAAGGAAACAAAACTTTCACACCAGAAAAGAAGAAGCATAGTGAAAGTACACTGAAAACGCGTGTGACAGTACACTGAACACTGGGAAAGTGCGAAATAATTTGGGACCCTAAACTGCATGATTACCGTCTACCCGATTACGATCGTACACAATTCTTGCTCGTAGTCTGAGTCCATCTACAGTCAGTTTCAAAAAGATTAGCAATCCTGGCGATCGCCCGGGGAGTTTGCCGTCTTACCGTATGCGCGCTCGAGAGCTGACTGGAAAAACTCACTGTGAACTCGAAGAAATAATCCGCGCGAAAGCATAAAAAATAGACAACTCACTCACGTCGGTACATGTACGTCTGGTTTACAACAAACGAGTTCTTCCTCGTATCGATATGGAGTGGACATGTCGAAAGTGTGGTGAATGTTGACGAGCGGGATGGGTTTCGTGCCCAATTTCTTTGAGCTGCGATGCAATTTACTCTCACGATGTGACGAAAACGACATCGACACAGACTCATTCCCAAGGCCATGACTTGGCAAAGCTATCCGTGTGACTTCGACGACATTTTGAGAAAAGCAGACGCCTGTGAAAGCTGATAGAAGACGGCGTTGACTCCTAAATTCAAATAAATTGGCGATCTTGAAATACTAAAATAATTCTCAAAGAGAAATCGATCGATCGATGTGCCGTTGTATTCAACAACACGTAGCTACAGCGCAATGACTTCCGTGTTCACGCACACCGTTTCAGTGTTGTAGGTGTGTTCACATGGCGTGAACCAGTCAAGTGTCAGCAAGTAATTAGTTCGGCAGAAAACGCGAGCTCCAACAACAAGTCGTTTGGCGCAGCCACCTTCTTTGGCTTGTACTTTTTGTACCAGCGTGATCACCAAAACAATGAAAAAAAGTTTGACTTCAAGATAGATTGGATTTGAACTCACAACTTCATGGTCAGCAGACAGCATTCATAACCACAAGGCCAAAAAGGAGAGGATAAATCGTGGGTTTTGATAAAAAATCGATACTGACATCCAGGGCAAATTGTAAACCATGGGAAAAGGCCCGAAACCTGGCCGAATTTCTAACTCCTTAACGGCTGGTCCAATTGTTCCGAAACCTTCACAGAACAATTTGCCGTGTCCTAACAAGCCATTCTATGTACTTTGTTGTCCAAATTTCTCTTATCTTCATACTTTTTAAGACCAAAACCTGATTGCTAATCTTTTTGAAATGGACTATAATAGATATATTTATTTGTTTGGTAATTTTTCATCGTTTGCAGCTGCAACACTATCGTCATACAGCTGCGTGTGAATGCACATGTGCATCTTACCTGGCGATGAGCATGACCCTCCCCCCGATTGAATTGTTGTATAAATTCGTGCAAGGTAAGTAAAATAGTTTACTAAGTCTTGCTGTTAGGTAAATCGGGGGGAGGATTTTTTTTCGACAACTCTACAGTACCTGTAGACACGTATGGGTTGTGATGGTGATTGAGTTATTACGGGTGTCATCAAAGAGTTGATATGATGGTGGTTGCGATGGTGATTGGGCGAGCATAACGATAGGATCTGTACACATAACAACAAGATTTGCTAATAGGGTATATACATGTAGGACCTGTACACACATACATGTAAGATGCTTATTACAGTCCATTTCAAAACTATAGACGCGTACCTAGCCAAACCGTTATGCCAGCATCTACATGTATACCACATAAAATCTGTGATCACTTTGTGCATAATTTTTTCCAAATTGGGCGTTTGTTATCCGATCATTTAGAAACTACATGAGAGTAATTGTGGAGCGGACCTGAGCAATATTCCGAAAACTATTCTCAAAACGTTCCAGCCAAATTTGAAATATTTCAAAAACCCTATGCGTCTATAGTTTTGAAATGGACTGTTGGGTTTGCTGAGTGTTGTTGTGGTGATCTGTACACAAAAAGCAATGGTACGAGAACTTCTTCAACTGTAGCACCTGCACACATAAAAGAGTAGAGTTGGCATGGTAATAGGATTGTCATGGTGATAGGGTTACGAGGGCTACTAGGGTTATTGTCTGCAGAAAAATTAAAATTAGGGGTTATCGTCATGGTGTTATGTTTATCCTCACCAGAAATATTAGGGTTATCGTCATGGTGATAAGGTTATCACCACCAGTAAAATTTAGGGCTATCGTCATGGTGATAGTAGGGAGGGCCCAAATATGCTCAAACATTTCACATATTATGCTTTTCGCATATTGGCCACTTGCTTCAAAATATGCTTCGAAATCACACAAATGCAGAAAAATATGCTCGAAATATGCTAGAAATATGAACTGATATCAGTGATAATAGAGAGGTTCCGCATAACGTAATTACGTTAGTAAAAAACGTAGTCCATCTACGGAAAGTCGTACGGAAACTGCATGCGCATCTGGGTTCCGCCATATGGAGTTTTCAAATCACGTAGCAGCCCTTGGCAACTCCGAACGCTGTAGTGTACGACCAGATCGACCTGGGGAGAGAGTCATAAATTTGTACCCCAATCCACTTACGGACCAGCTACGTTATCAGAGCCCTATCTACGTACTCTCCGTAGACAACTTTCCGTAAGTGGAGTGTAAACTCGCGAATTCACGGGTTTTTCCCGCCCACTAACGTAAAGTTGCTCAACTTTACGTAGTGCGGAACCTCTCTAATTATGCGAATTATTTGCTCCTTGTAGCAAAATATGCTACATTTGGTACAATTATGCTAGATTTGTTACTTTATGCGACACTCTCTTCTCGGGTCAAAATTTTCGCCCCGTGTTTGGATGAGCATTTTCCTTCCGGGCTAAGTTTGGAAGTGTTCCCTGACCGAGCGTGCCGTGGTAAGTTTCCTTGTCCATTTCCGCAATCTGCCTTATAATTATGCGAATTATTTGCTCCTTGTAGCAAAATATGCTACACTTGGTACGATATGCTAGATTTGCTACTTTATGCGACCTTGTGTCAAAAGGACCAAAATATGCGAAAATATGCGCAAGCATATTTGGGCCCTCCCTAGGTGATAAGGTTATCACCACCAGTAAAATTTAGGGCTATCGTCATGGTGATAGGGTTATCAGGAATATTAGGGTTATGGTCATGGTGTTAGGGTTAGGGTAATCAGAAATATTAGGGTTATCGCCATGGTGATAGCCCTAGGGTTAGGGTTATCGTCATGGTGTTAGGGTTAACTTGGGGTTATCATCATCATCAGAAATACTGTAGACGTAAAAAAGCCTAGCGAATTTAGCGATCGGCTCATTTTTGCTAAAGTTTCAAGTCGCTAATCCGTTGAGACTTTAGTAGTGCACTGGTGATCCGTGAGTAAAATCGCTGCAAATCGCTAAACCAGCCGGCAATGGGAGAACGCTAAAATTACCCGTTCTACAGTATTAGGGTTATCGCCATGGTGATAGCCCTAGGGTTAGGGTTATCGTCATGGCAAGAGTACATGAAAACCAGAGTGTGCAGCTTGGGGTCTACTCTGCTATGGGTGTCTGTCACGGCGAAATTCCGTGATTACATCAAATTTGGTGCAGAAGTCTGCAGATCTGATTCGGGAAATGGCGTAGTGCGTACAACTGAGCTGCAGTTGTGCAGAAAGAGACCTGCTTGAATCCTGCTTGTACGCACTCATCGCTAAAATGATGTAATCACGGAATTTCGCCGTGACAGCAACCCATCCGAGCTGCACACTCTGGTTTTCATGTACTCTTGGTCATGGTGATAGGGTTAGGGCTATCGCCATGGTGATACGGTTAGGGTTACCGGGATTATTAGGGTTAATATGACCCGATTTTTAGGGTTAAACACACCAGTTTAGGGCTGAATCACATTTCGTCATAGATGGCGTCATATGTAAACCGCTCCGATTTTAGGTTAAATCGAACAAATTTACCGTAAATCGGAAAATAATTAGGGTTAAATCGCTATGACGTCATCGATGAGTTGGTACACCTCAAAATCCTAGTCGACTCGCGCATTTCGCGTCCAAAGTTTGTCGTCAGAGAACTCCTGTTGCTTCTTGCGCAACACAGAGAATGCCTGGTGCTGCAATCAACACCACAATGAGATGGAGAATTGTCACGGAGTACCAGGAACTCCTGGGCAATCGTTCTCGAGTGCCTCCTGGCGGATTGAAATCGCCGCAGTCGCTGTTTCCTTCGCAGAATTTCAGTGAACTCATCCAGAAACTGGTGCAGAAAGCACCAGCATCGAGTCGTCCAGTTCGCTGATCTCTCTCGCAGTCGTTCACGATATGGCGGTTAACGAAGCAAGATTACAGAATAATCACCATGCTGCGTGGAAGGAAGGTGCGTAAACGCTTCTGAACGATATTATTGCAATCGAACAGGAGGCATGATAGTGCAATAGCATAGTTGAGACTTTTGTACAAACAGGATTTCTTCAGGGAATTTAACGTTTCTTGCAGGGGATGAAGGTTGAAGTGAGCTTAGAGAAAGTCACCAATGTTTGTTTTCTTCAGAAAACTAATCAGATGTCTGTCTACGCCTAGGAGGCGCTGTCGAGATTGATAGCATCTTTTTTCTGGCATGCATCGCTTTGTTTTGAAAATCATGCTCCGGTGCGTAGACGTGCTGATCGATCACGTGCGCACACGACGTGCACACGTAGTGTCCATCTATCACTGCCTCGGTCACGTGATTGCAGCCATCATCACGTGCCGATAAGCCCTTTGGCTGTCGAACGTAATTGATGAGCGCGTCAAATTGATCACACAGGTCCACGATGTTCTGGAAATGGTGTCGATGCACCGTCTGCATCCGTCTATAATGCAAAGCCGGCGAGTGTTCATTGGTCGTAGGAGTCGGTATAAAAAGACTCTGCTTGCTTTCGTCATGCATCATTATGCTCCATTTGTCAACAGGGTTGCATGCAATTTTCATGCTCTCGTCATCATGTCTGCCTCGTGCACCAACATCTCGTGCGGACTTTTGGAGCTCGTGCATAAATTTGAAGGTGCTAACTACGATAAAGTCGTGTACTTCCACCCGAACGTGAATAAAATCGGACAAGATGCGTGGAGAATCGAATGCGCCGATATCAAAACCTATCTCAAGCCCCTGGTAGGTGAAGAGACCATCATCTGGGCGGGCATTTACAAAACTCCCATGTGGTACCTTCAACCGACAGATTTGATTGCTTTCCACGCTTTCGTCGTCTTTCAAACGAGAAACTGGTGGTGGTCGGCGGAAAAAACACCGACGGTGTTAGCATATGCAGAGGCAAGACTCGTTCAAGCGTGACATCTTCCTATCGAAGTACCAATCGAAAAACTTCGATAGAGGAGATTATTGCTGACCAATCACATGTAAATCTGCAGGATATGATAGATTTCCTCTACGACTCTAGTCTCGTCAAGGGCATTTACAACGTGACAACAAACAACTGCCATACGTTTGCCTCCGCTCTGTTCAACGAACTTGCAGCTACCCACTACGTCAATCACATCGAGCTTCAACGTGCCAAACCATCGACTCGGAACATGCAATCGAATGAGTACTCGACCCCCGTCCAGACAAACATTTAACACAGATATGTTGGTTTTAAACCTGTTTAATTAAATTGATGATAATGTTGCATTTGCTTTTATCGTGATGATAATGGACTCCGTGGGGAGCTCCCCATAATAGTGCTGAAGCTTTTGAAGGTAGTTCTCAACATGCTCCTTCGTCTTGAGCTGTTCCTTTGTCTCCGCCATGGTTCTCCATTGATTGTCACTGCATGTAGGAAACAGATAAAAACAACATGTATAAGATCTCTGGTATTTCAAATAAAGAGAATTGCACGACAGATCACTTACCAGCTGCATAGGAACTGAGGCTGAAGACCGGCCTCCAGCTTCTTTCGATGTCCCTTGGACATCAAGTGATCGGCGAACGGCTGGAGGCCAGTCGCCGTTTTGGAGCAGACGGAGCAGCTGAACAACATCTTGCAGCTTGCTGGTTTGTTGAATGGGGCTGATCAAGGTGGATCCAATCACTTTTATCCCCACCCAGTTGTTCGTTGGTTGACGGGTGCGGCGCGCAGTTCAACATTACAACTCTGCGCGATGATCATGGAGTCTGCTACTCAGGGTGTGGAGCGGGTAAATTGGGCAGTACCGTGAATACCACATGGTGAACATCTCTTTGAAACGTGTGGGATTCACATAGTAGATTGTTGAAACTCGCGCGATAAAGATGATGATCATGGTGGCCACCACTCAAAAAGGATGTAAAGCGGTGACGTGAGTGCTAGTAACAGTAACTACATGTCTTTGAAACGTGCGCCATTCATAGAATTGAAAACCGCTAAAGACGATGGTCATAGACCCCGCGTCGCGTTCAAACTTGCCGTCGGTTCTAGTTGATTCCAGAAACTTGCGCCTGATCTGAGTACGCTGTTCGTACTCTGAGCATCGCGAGGAGTGGGAAACTATGGACATTTTGCTTCTCTCCCGTTGATGCAGACAGTATGTAACCTTTTGATCCCGCATACGCGAGGGTTCGGGCGCGCTTTTGATGTGTATCCTGCACTAGACTCCCGTTTTGACTGGCTTTGTGGTTTGATGCGTACGAACTTGAAAATTTCAAACTCGTCGAAGTAAGTGGTGTGCACGTATATTGAAGCGATCTTCAATTCCTCAGATCATTTCGTAGTGACAGTGTTCCTTTCTTTCATGTAGTCCTGGAATTATTTTAGCCTAGTCGTTTAGTCGGACAAGAGATGGACATCCCTCTTCATCTCCTTGCGCCATTGCTTCGTACGAGGTACGTGATCGCCGGCCATTGCATGTCTACCCGATTACGATCGTACACAATTCTTGCTCGTAGTCTGAGTCCATCTAATAGATATATTTATTTTTTTGGTAATTTTTCATCGTTTGCAGCTGCAACACTATCGCCATACAGCTGAGTATGAATGCACATGTGCATCTTACCTGGTGATGAGAATGACCCTCCCCCCAATTGAATTGTTGTATAAATTCGTGCAAGGTAAGTAAAATAGTTTACTAAGTCTTGCTGTTAGGTAAATCGGGGGAGGATTTTTTCAACAACTCTACAGTACCTGTAGACACGTATGGGTTGTGATGGTGATTGAGTTATTACGGTTGTCATCAAAGAGTTGATATGATGGGGGTTGCGATGGTGATTGGGTTAGCATAACGATAGGATCTGTACACATAACAACAAGATTTGCTAATAGGGTATATACATGTAGCACCTGTACACACATACATGTAAGATGCTTATTACAGTCCATTTCAAAACTATAGACGCGTACCTAGGCAAAAACCGTTATGCCAGCATCTATACCACATAAAATCTGTGATCACCTTGTGCATAATTTTTTCCAAATAGGGCATCTGTTATCCAATCGTTTAGAAACTCTATGAGAGTAATTGTGGAGCGGACCTGAGCAATATTCCGAAAACTAATCTCAAAACGTTCCAGCCAAATTTGAAATATTTCAAAAACCCTACGCGTCTATAGTTTTGAAATGGACTGTAGGGTTTTCTGAGTGTTGTTGTGGTGATCTGTACACAAAAAGCAATGATACGAGAACTTATTCAACTGTAGCACCTGCACACATAAAAGAGTAGAGTTGAAATGGTAATAGGATTGTCATGGTGATAGGGTTACGAGGGCTACTAGGGTTATTGTCTGCAGAAAAATTAAAATTAGGGGTTATCGTCATGGTGTTATGTTTATCCTCACCAGAAATATTAGGGTTATCGTCATGGTGATAAGGTTATCACCACCAGTAAAATTTAGGGCTATCGTCATGGTGATAGGGTTATCAGGAATATTAGGGTAATGGTCATGGTGTTAGGGTCAGGGTTATCAGAAATATTAGGGTTATCGCCATGGTGATAGCCCTAGAGTTAGGGTTATCGTCATGGTGTTAGGGTTAACTTGGGGTTATCATCATCAGAAATACTGTAGAACGTGTCATTTTAGCGACGTAAAAACCCTAGCGAATTTAGCGATCGACTCATTTTCGCTAAAGTTTCAAGTCGCCGTTGAGACATTAGTAGTGCACTGGTGATCCGTGAGTAAAATCGCTGGTAAACCAGCTGACAATGGGAAAACGATAATAGTCGCTAAAATTACCCGTTCTACAGTATTAGGGTTATTGCCATGGTGACAGCCCTGGGGTTAGGGTTATCGTGTTGATAGGGTTAGGGTTATCGTCACCAGGAATATTAGGGTTATCGCCATGGTGATTGCACTTGGGTTAGGGTTATCGTCATAGTGATAGGGTTAGGGCTATCGCCATGGTGATAGGGTTAGGGTTACCGGGATTATTAGGGTTAATATGCCCCGACTTTTAGGGTTAAACGCAAATTTTAGGGTTAAAACGCATTACGTCATCGATGACGTCATATGTAAAACGCTCCGATTTTAGGTTAAATCGCAATTTACCGTAAATCGGAAAAATAGGGTTAACTCGCTATTACGTCATTGCTGACATCAGTGAGTTGGTAGGCCTCAAAATCCTAGTCGACTCGCGCATTTCGCGTCCAAAGTTTGTCGTCAGAGAACTCCTGTTGCTTCTTGCGCAACACAGAGAATGCCTGGTGCTGCAATCAACACCACAATGAGATGGAGAATTGTCACGGAGTACCAGCAACTCCTGGGCAATCGTTCTCGAGTGCCTCCTGGCGGATTGAAATCGCCGCAGTCGCTGTTTCCTTCGCAGAATTTCAGTGAACTCATCCAGAGACTGGTGCAGAAAGCACCAGCATCGCGCCGTCCAGTTTGCTGATCTCTCTCGCAATCGTTCACGATTATAGCGGTTCACGAAACAATATTACAGAATAATCACCATGCTGCGTGGAAGGAAGGTGCGTAAACGCTTCTGAACGATATAATTGCAATCGAATAGGAGGCATGATAGTGCAATAGCATAGTTGAGACTTTTGTACAAACAGGATTTCTTCAGGGAATGTAACATTTCTTGCAGGGGATGAAGGTTGAAGTGAGCTGAGAGAAAGTCACCAATGTTTGTTTTCTTCAGAAAACTAATCAGATATCTGTCGACGCCTAGGAGGCGCTGTCGAGATTGATAGCATCTTTTTTCTGGCATGCATGAGGTCCATGATGTTCTAGAAATGGCGTCGGTGCACCGTCTGCATCCGTCTATAATACAGAGCCGACGATTGTTCATTGGTCGCAGGAGCCGGTATAAAAAGACTCTACTTGCTTTCGTCATGCATCATTATGCTCAATTTGTCAACAGGGTTGCGTCATCCTGTCTGCCTCGTGCACGAACATCTCGTCAGGACTTTCGGAGCTCGTGCACAAATTTGGAGGTGCTAACTACGATAAAGCCGTGTACTTCCACCCGAACGTGAATAAAATCGGACAAGATGCGTGGAGAATCGACAGCGCCGATATCAAAACCTATCTCAAGCCCCTGGTAGGTGAAGAGACCATCATCTGGGCGGGCATTTACAAAACTCCCATGTGGTACCTTCAACCGACAGATTTGATTGCTTTCCACGCTTTCGTCGTCTTTCAAACGAGAAACTGGTGGTGGTCGGCGGAAAAAACCACCGACGGTGTCAGCATATGCAGAGGCAAGACTCGTTCAAGCGTGAGATCTTCCTATCGAAGCACCAATCGAAAAACTCCGATAGAGGAGATTATTGCTGACAAATCACATGTAAATCTGCAGGATCTGATAGATTTCCTCTACGACTCTAATCTCGTCAAGGGTATTTACAACGTTGTAACAAACAACTGTCATACGTTTGCCTCCACTCTGTTCAACGAACTTGCAGCTACCCACTACGTCAATCATATTGCACTTCGGCATGCCAAACCCATCGACTCGGAGCATGCAATCGAATGAGTACTCGACCCCCATCCAGACACACACATTTAGCACAGATATGTTGATTTTAAAATGTTTAATTATAATTTCAGTAGATCATTCTCAGCTTGTATGAGTGTAATAACGCTGTTGGCCTGTATTTCTCCGTAGTAGTTTTGGACTTTTTCACAATAGTGCTTTAGATGCCTTGACGTTGATATATGGGGCTTCATGTCCGCCAATGTACGCCATTCGTTGTCGCTGCATGGAAGGAAACACATCAAAACGTGTATAAGATCTCTGGTATTTCAAATAAAGAGAATTGCACGACAGATTACTTACCAAGAACAAAGAAACAGAGGCTGCAGACCGGCCTCCAGCTTCCTCCTGTGGTTTTTAGACTTCAGGTGGTCCACGAACGGCCGGAGGCCGGTCGTGGTCTTTCCACATGCTGAGCAGCTAAACAACATCTTGATGATAGTTGAATGGGACTGATCAAGGTGGATCCAATCACTTTTATCCCCGCCCAGTTGTTCGTTGGTTGAAGTCCACCGCTCAGGATGTGAAGCGGGTAAAGCGGTGACGTGAGTACTACATCTCTTTGAAACGTGCACGATTCATATAAAAACCGCTAAAGATGATGGCCATGGACCCCGCGTCCCGTTCAAACTTGTCGCCGGTTCTAGTTGATTCCAGAAACTTCCACCTGATCCGAGCACACTGTGAGTACTCTGAGCACGCTGTGAGGAGTGGGAAACTATCGACATTTTGGTACTCACCGGTTGATGCAGACAGTGTGTAACCTTTTGACCCGCGTACGTGAGACGCCGCGGTTTAGGGTAAAATCGCTATGACGTCATCGATGACATCAGTTAGTTGGTACACCCATAATACTTTCTACTTGTGTGTGTGTGTGTGTGTGTGTGTGTGTGTGTGTGTGTGTGTGTGTGTGTGTTGTGTTGTGTGTGTGTGCATGTTGTGTGCTCACACGCAGGGTGCATGCGGCTCCAGCTGGGCGTTCAGCACAACCGGCTCCACCGAAGGCCAGCACTTCAAGAAGACTGGCAACCTTGTCTCGCTGTCCGAGCAGAACCTGATTGACTGCAACCAAAAGGAGGCTGATCGTGGCTGTGGCGGAGGTTTCATGGACCATCGCTTCAAGTACATCATCGAGAACCACGGCATTGACACAGAGGAGAGCTACCCTTACACGGCCAAGGCCGGTACATGCCGCTTCAGGGAGTCCCACGTCGGCGCCACCCTCACCAGCTACAAGGACATGCTGCCGCGCAAGTCCGAGAGCGCCCTGCAGGAGGCTGTTGCCTCGGTGAGTACTTTTCTTACACATAACAGAATACTCTCTGCATGGTGGCCCATATTAGAAGCTGTGTCTTAGGAGAACATATCCGGCTAAAGATAAGAAAGCTTTATCATACATGTATATACCACTCTTTGGTTTTAGATATTACAATGAGAGTGCACAATCAATGGCTTGTCCACCAACTGTTTGTTTTACTGCTCGCTGCACCACAGCATAGTGTGTTGTTGGCCGGCCCACTGCGCTTCTACTCTGTTGGACCATCGTGTCTGTTGAACCAGGGAGTCGTAAAATACCGGTATTTTAAGACTCCCTGTGTTCAACCACTGTGTCATCATGGCTGTTGCAGTTTTCCCGGTCAGCTTATTGACTCTTGTTGTCGTTTTAAAAGAAATCTGATGATGTAAAATAGCGGTGTGGATGTTTGGAAAGTGCTACAGTCTGTTTTGGATGTGATATATTTCCCAGCACTTGATTGCATTCGGCGATGTATAGAAACATATACATGTAATTGTAATACTCTTCACTCTCTGTGTGTTCTCTTCTGTTCCTGCCGGCTGTCGTATCGCAGGTTGGCCCAGTGTCGATTGCCATCGACGCCTCATCGACGTATTTCCGCTACTACAAGCACGGAATCCTGATCGACAGCAAGTGCACCAACGCTTACCCGAATCACGCTGCCCTGGTTTTCGGCTACGGTGTTGTTGAGGAAGAGCAGGACTACTGGCTGGTCAAGAACACCTGGGGTACCAGCTGGGGAGACAAGGGATACATCAGGACGGCACGTAACCATGACAACATGTGCGGGATCACCACGGACGCCAGCTATCCGATCGCCTAAGCACACATCGCCGGGACAACGCCGTCTAAAAAAAAACGCTCGCACACGCCTTTGTCGTGTGATGTTGTAACTTATCTACCATCAGTATAGCTCAGAAAATCGGGGCACTCTGGCGCGCACGCCGCTGCCTCCGTGAAGCTGCAAGGGCACGGTACGTGACCTCCGTAGCACTGCCAGACGCCCTATACGCCTCGCCCTCTTTCAGTGGCTCACTGTCGAGTGCTGAGACCAGGAGGCTGCAGGTTCTGCTGAATCGAGCAGTCCGCACTGTCTACGGTGTGCCCACGCGACACTCAGCTGAACCTTTGCTGACCCGGCTGGGAGTCTTCCAGGTGTCAGAGCACTTCCACCAGAACACCTTAGCTCTTGTGTGGAAGAGCCTACGCGGTGAGACATCGCAGTCCGTCACAGAACTAATGACTCCACAAATGACCAGAGAAACCCGCCTTCAGCAGCAGGACGGACTCAGTCTTCCAGTTGCAAGAACAAACGCTGGCAAGTCGAGGTACGCCTTCAACGCTACAGGTAAATGGAACAGATTACCTGAAGACGTCCGCTCCAGCACAACTCTGGAGACCTTCAAAGCTGCAGCAGTACCCTACGCAATTGCTCGTTGACTACATGGAACAGTAGCAAATGCCATGTTTGACAATGGATCCGATATCCAGCTGACTATCATTTCCAGTGCATACACACTTTTTCTTTCCTTCTTTTTCTCTCTCTCTCTCTCTCTCTTTTTTTTTTCTTCCCTCTTAAGATCTTCGCCACCTTGTCATTGGGAGGAAATTCCCGTTTGGATTTTGTGAAGTAAAACAAAGTTAAAAAAATAAAAAAATAGCTGATTGCCACCGCCACAGCTGCTGCTGCTGCTTTTGTGGCGCAATCTTCCTTACACTATCAGCCCGGATCATCCATTCGCGCTATGATCCAAGCTTGCAGCCTATATCAATCCTATCTTCTGAAAATTGTGGTCAGCTTGCTGTCTGATGATCGGTTGAAACCGTGAAACTCAGAGTTACAGAAGAAACGCTTCTCATCCCTCTCAAGTGTGTTTATTTTATATAAGGCCACGCCGTTTTTTTCTATGTTTCGCGTCACCTTATTTGATGAAATCAATGAGCATGAGGGAGGGGGAAAAAAATAAAAAAGCCATCCAAACAAAAAAAACAGTGTACGTGCATTGCATTTGTGTACAGTGAAGCGACGCGGCACTGACTGTCTGTTCATGTACATTAACATGAACATTGACATGTCGGATTTCAGTTGCCAGCACTGTACATGATATACATGAGTGTACATGTATCCCCTCTAGGCCTCTGCCATGCTTGTGCCAGTTCATGTGGCGTGTGGTCCAAACACAGGCAGCATGATTGTGTGACTTGTGGCCCAGCTTATTGCACACACAATGTACAAATGACATGTACATGTGTGTGAGCTGAGTCACACGGAAAACTGAGCCTCTTGTACGGGCAAAATAACACATTTTGTGAAGAATCAACACATATATAAAAACGAATCATCATATACAGTATTTACAGAGTCTGTCACTCAGTAGGATCACTGCACTGTGCAGGTTCACTGGATGCGTGCCTCCGCCGCCACTAGCACAGCAGGGGACTCGGGCTGCGTTTACACGACAACGATTGAAAACGATTTGCGTTTACACGACAACGAAGTAGGACCTAAACGGAACGAAATCATTGCGTTTACTACTATCGTTTACACGACAACGCCCGAAAACGATACCTAAACGGAACGAAATGGAAACGCACTTCAAAGTGTTTTGAAACGTTTTCAAAACGTTTTCAAAACGTTTTCGTTCTCGTGTAAACGGTGAAAACAGTGAAAACGATTGGAAACGGAGCGCGGTCATGGAAACCATTCCGCGCGGGACTATATTTCGCGGGAAATACCTGACCTTTAAAAAGCTTTGCGACCACCAGCGCGTACCAACTCCAACTAACGTGTTACTTCCCGCCCTTGCGCCAAGCCAGCACGTACTAACTCCAGCCTGCTCGCCCGTTTTCCGTTTTCGTGTGAACGGTTCAAAACGATTTGCCGTTCTCGTGTAAACGGTTTGAAAACGATTCGAGGCCAGCCCGTTTTCGTTCCGTTTCGTTTCGTTTCGTCTCCGTGTAAACGCAGCCTCAGGCATGGCAGGAGCAAACATGCTCCTTGAGCCACGCAGGCACATAGCACCACAACGCACCAGGGCAAACCCAAGGCGGCAGCACAGCAAGGAGATAACCTGCCCGTATGGCTCCTTACTCTTCTCAGCCAGGAGAGAGGCGATCCGCGTGAAAAGAGCATTGGCATGCTTGCCATAGCCACCAGAGGCAGAGAGCACAACGGGCACGAAGGAGGCATGCTCAACTTCACGTACTCACTCCTCGTACTTCCGGCGCTTTTCCTGTTCATGGCGTCTGTAGCTAGCAGCGAGGGAGGTGGCACGATTCGAAGACGCAAAAGGGTTGAACACCCGTACATCAATAAAGATGCGCTCGAATCGGCCACCCCACACACCACTAGCCGCAACGTCCAGCCGAGCTTGCTCCTCCGTGACAGCTGTGCGATGGCGGAAGGCCTCTCCGGTGACGGGCTGGAGGTGGGGTTCCACTGTAACGTTGTGAGCGACCTGCCTCAGAGCTCTGGCAGTGATGTCCCTCACCTCGTTGTGTCGCAGCGTCGGGAAGCCACCAAACGGGCACGACAGGGCGTGACTCACATTCAGCGGCTTACTGCACACGCAGGGGCTTGGGAGCCGAGGAGGTGTCCAGCCGTACCGGAGGCACAGGCCATCCCGGAAATCTCCCTTGCTGAGTGTGAAACCATGGCGGCTGAGGGGGCGGCAGGTCAGCCAGCTGGATGCACCCTTTTCTGAGGCCAGGTCGAGAACAGGGGCCAGCTCCCGGTGATCCGAGCGAAGAGCGTCAGCCATAGACTTGAACGCGCTCCGCTTCTCGGCCCGAACCGTCGCCTTGACCGTCCGGAGCTGAGTCAGAGAGTCGCCAAGGGACGACTCCTGCTCCAGCAGGCGAGACACGAGGCTAGCCGTGATCCTTCGGGATGAGGTGTACTGTTCAGCCACTGAACAAGGGTCTGCCATACCCAGTCCCCCAAGCCGGCAAGGCAGAGAGAGTAGGGAGTGAACAGTTGTCCCAGGTGGAGCCTGACCCGTGATGGCCGGGATGAGCCGACCGCTGATTGCGTGTTCCAGCGGTTCAAGCAAGGATGGCGGGATGGAGGAGGTCCGGCAGAGGAAGGACCACTTGTTTTGCAGGCCCTGTGTGAAGGCGGAGTAGGCGGCCTGTGGCTGCGATGCAGCGATGGTCGTGAGCTGCGCAACTTCCTCACACCAGGTGGCGACTGCTGAGTACAATCATGCGATAAATAGAACAAATATTTAATTGATGCCAACATAATATTTACGTGTAACAATCATGTTCCGTTTTTCTGGGTTTGCATTAAATTTGTATTGCATTTTCAAAAAAAATTGTTCCGTTTTTTGTTTTTTTTAACTCCGGCTGTGAAAATACATGCGCGCGGGGGACGCGAAACACAGATAAAAAACGGTGTGGCCTAATATAATATTATTTCACCGTCCAATGGCAGAAGCCAATGTAAAGGAGGGGGCGTTAGCCCTCCATGGCAAGAGAAGGAAAAAAAGAAAAGAAAAAGAAAAGAACTTATTATGTGACTCCCGTCCTGAATCCGACAACTGGCATACCAGTCTAACTGTACACTGTAGCTAGTGTGTTCAGCAGTAGCAGCAGTCGTCCCCTTTATTCTCATTCTCCTGTTCTTCTCTGCTGTACTGGCATTGTCAAGGTTTACTAGGGAGGTTCCGGGGTACGATTTTCCGTGCGAAAATCCGTGTGGGCGCTACGGATTTTTTCCAGGCGTGCTCCATACGATTTTTCGGCACGGAGAATCCGTGTGGACTGGCTTTCATACGAACCATGTTTCGTATGGAGATTTTGCGTCATCGGGTGCAGAAAGATTTTTCGAGTACAAATTTGGTACGAGAAACATGGATTTTCCGCGGAAAGTTTTGATTTCGGTACAAATTTTCAAAATAAAAAGGCATAGCGCGGGAATGTGACGTGTTTGGGATCGTAACCTAGGCAATGACGGCAAACACAGAAGCTCCGTACTCCGGAACATTTCACTGCTCGAAAACGACGCATGAAAAATCCGTAGCGCCTCTACGGATTTTGGCACGAAAAATCGTAGACCCGGGTGCTCGAATCAGAAACGATTTGACAGGTGTGGAATTTCTCATCTGTAAATCTCAACAATGTCAGAATATACTTTTGGAGAGGCGATGGAACAGGGAAGAGAGTCTGGCTTGACCCACCCAGCAGGAATTCAGAACCTGGGTGCGCTACAACACAAGCTACAGTACGCAGTAAAATGGTCGGATTTCCTTCGGATTTTTTATTTGAAAATTGGGTGCTCGAATCAGAAACAGCAAACTCGTCAGATCGTCTCCGATTCAAGCACACGGGTCTACCATCGTCTACGCTTGGTGTGGCAGTTGAGGGCAGGTAGTAGTAACTTACTACTTCGTTTTTGAGAGCAAGATGATCAGTGGAGCCGCAGATTCAGCAGGTCTTTGGCAGAACCGTACAGGAGACCCACATCCTCGAATCAAGGACCCAGCAAAAAGTGGGTCGCGAGTATTTCAAAAACCGTTTACCGGGCAGCTCTGAAATTTGGCATACCGTTAGCGGGCCGTATGTTGATGGTATTTGTGAAAACTAAACGAAATCGGAACAAGTTTAGGTACAATTTCAGGCTGTTTCTGTTTTGGTACCTTGTGTCTCATTCGAGCACCCGGGTCTACTCCGGAATCTCCCTACTGTCTCGCTCTGCCAACGTCACTGTGCGTGATCATGTACATGTATGTCTCTGTGTTCGACAGTTTTGACTTTTCTCCGAGTTTATGTGGGCCTTTGGCCGAGTCTCACGCGAACCGTGAAATTTTTTTTTTTTTTTTTTTTTATGTGGGCCAGTTCTGGGATGCTGTTTGCCGCTGTGAGCGTTTTGTTCTCTTTCGTGAAATCGATACTGGACTCTGTGCGCGTTGTTGTTGCACTTGCTTGCGCGAGCACGCACCCGGCAGGCGTGCGTGCATCAGATTATTCCGTTCTTGGGGGTGCATTGCTACCAGGGAGTAGTATATTTTAATACCATATCTACTACTGCCTGGTTGTTACGGACAAATCTGAGCACGGGGGTATTACACCAATGAGGACGCCGAAATACTACAATAATTATTGATTTGAAACTCGGATGTTGAGCCATAAATAAAATTAATGTAGAAGAGAAAAGGACATATGGATACGAGTTTAAAAGAAAGAAAGTGCAATAATATTGCACTTTCTGACTGTATATAGTATCATGTTACAGTGATGGAGAGTTACTCTTAACTCATATCCATATGTCCTTTTCTCTTATAATTATTGATCATAATGATTTCGAAGAAAGTAAAATGAGCGCACACATACCACGAGAACACTGTAACAATAATTATGACAATTCATTCTATTGATTATCACATGAGAACGACGTTCAAATCAGAACATTGTTTGTATGATTTGAACGTCGTTCACGTGATAATCATCAGAAATCTTCATCCCAATGATAGTTTTGTAACATGGGAAATTGTGGGCACAAGTTATGCGATGTTACAATTTTTCCTTGGCTCACCATCTGAGTTCTTACAAGTTACAATGATAATTGGACAACAAAGGAAAGGATATTTATGGTACTATAAAGGTGAACTCGGGTATTGAGCCAATAATAAAAGTAGAAAGGAAAGGGACATAATGGAAACGAAGGTGAACATTATTAGATCTAAAACTAATACAAGAAACACTGATATTCTAAAGCTAGCACTATTGGAGGCGAGATTACAAGTCATGAGCCTGGCAACCATTTACCAAAGCTGCAGCCAGGGCACCCTGCGATCGTGTATCATTCGCCTATGTATGGAAACTGCGCACCCTCTCGTGATCATCGCGTGAGTGACCGCTCAAAATGTTGCATTCGGCGCT